TTCTAATTGCTAGTTAAAGAACGAGGTTTCCGTCTTCGTCAATACGTTTTCATCGCCAAGCGATTAGAATTCTGCATCAGGTGAACCAATCACCTCTACTTCGTAACGAATAAATTAAATTGAATTAAAACATTTGCATATACAGGATGGCCCGTTACAATCTTCGGTATTATTTCAGTCTAGATAACGCCCACCTGACTTTTATACATTAATATATTTTGATGAAAATTAGGTCTGATGGACACTGCACTCCTGGTGGCATTTACGCATATGTTTCATAATGTTGCCTTGTTTTGAGAATCAGTGATTACCCAATACGCATGAATAATTTGGACCCAAAATGTCATGTTGTTCGATATCAGTTACGATTTTAACGAAACAATGTTCTAATTGTTGTAGACAACATCACATTATTAGTGTCAGTTGTACCTACTCTTGGGTGTGAATAAATGACCACTTCGCAATATGAATATTGCATACAACAGGTCGCCAAAAATAGAGTCTACAGATACATACAGATTAAATTTTCGATCTTTATGAGAAAATAATGAAACGAGGAGACGTTCGAGATGCGTAGGTATTTTGTACGCAGTGTACAATACCTTTCATAAAGTAATAATAATAATAAATGCCTTTAATTAACAAAGAAATAAACAATAATGGATTACATAAACTGGGCGAGATTCAGTTGAAAGGTGCATACCTTTTTTATAATTCCACTTCAAAAACGTCTTGGAATTTCCACATCGCCGATTTTCAATTGTATCTCCCACGTATTCCTAATAGTTTCAAACAAAAAATGTTCAGCTTAAAGAACAATCAAATCCAAGAGGAACTTAATGTGAGATATCAGCCTTGGATGAACCCCGCCCACTCAAAAAATAAAGGCATAATAAATCAAAATAAAATAAATAAATTAAATATGAGTTAAAACCAAAAGAACTAAATGAATTTGAGAGGAATCCGGAAAAGAGAAATGCATGCAATACGTTCTTTTCTTCTATCTACCGCTATAAACTGCTACTCCTGCCGGAAGGATGTTTTTCCATGCCCGTCCTTCCACAAATGGAATTGCAATACCATCTTGGTTAGCAAATCCAGGAAAGATACTAATGAAGAGTTATGTACGAGCGTCCAAGTACCGTCCTTTGGTCGAAGAAGTGGATCTGATGCATTCGTAAAAATCATACTTCGCATTGGTGACAAATATTGAAACCACTAACCCAATGTCGAGTGACTCACCGCCAGGTGCTAAAAGAAAATTACTTATGTTGCAAACACTGTGTACAATAACAGTGAATCGAACTGCTGACGCTTTTTTAATAACTGCAATGGGGCAATCTACGGTACGAAGCAATTCTACAGAATTTACATATATTATATCCCTTCTCTCCGTATCTACTGTAATTAAGTTCCGCCTATCTTACTACGACGAAGCGTTTATAAGTTCTGCGAACCTCTACTACAAGCCTTCGTAATATGACAGACATATTTATCAACTCTTCTCGCGTTATTTTATTACAATGACCCATATGAATAAAAGGGAGCATATGCTTATACTTTGCAAAATTCAAAGTAAATACTCGTAAGTGCTTAACCCACGGGACGGGACGCAAGTGCAGAGCTTTTGAGCAGCCCAGTGGAAAGGGGCACTTACGAGTATTTACTTTGAATGTTGCAAGTTTATAAGCATGTGGCTCCCTTTTATTCATATGAGCCATTGACTCATTCCCAATTTACTTATTCCGAATATACACACGTAAAACACTGTAATGATCCTATTCTATTTTGCATGTAAAATGATTTGCATTCATAACCACGATTTTCACCTTTATATTCTAATTCCTTTTTAGCCTGCTCACGTTTAAAATACTTGATTGTTTATGCACTTAGAGCTCTCTATACGTTTTCGTGGATGCTTTAATGTGAAGTGGTCTGGCCCGCCTCCAGAACTTGGAGGTACACGTACTGACTGTAAAAATGTCAGATTTTGGTACTCTTACTCAGTAGGCGGAGTCTAGTAAAATTATGGATTAGCGGCGGCTGATATAAGCGTCCACCAAAACCACTAGCATCATTCCAACGACCGAGGTCTTCGTATCAAACCCTAGGCGTAGGCAGATTGAGGTGTAGGGTCTAGTACATTAGGGATTAGCGGTGGCTGATATAAGCGTCCACCAAAACCACTAGCATCATCTAACGACCGAGATCTTCGGATCAACCCTAGGCATAGGCAGATTGAGGCCTAGGGCAACTCATTTCTTTCCGTATCGCTACTTTTTTTGTAGTTTGAAACGCGCCATCTGATCCTGTATGTATTTTTATTCTGTGCATATGTTGTTCTTTTACTGACCTATATAGACAACGCACGGTTTGAGTCGGCCAAGACAACTAGTATAGATTCAGCGTATAAGTTGCGTGTGAATCACTTAACTTACGAGCACTAATTCACTTATATTTATCCCCCTTCTCTCAGTATCTACTGTAATTAAGTTCCGCCTATCTTACTACCACGAAGAGTTAATAAGTTCTGCGAGCCTCTTCTACATGCTTTTGTCAATTCGACTTCGGTATGAAATGAACAGACATTTTTATCGCGTCTCATTGCGATATGTAATTACAAAAACTCATTTAAATTATCTCATTTCGAATATACATACGTAAAGCAGTATTTATGATCCTATTCTATTTACATGTGAAATAATTTTGCTTTCCTAACCGCGATTTTTACTTTATATTTCTAATTCCCTTCCAGCCTGCATTTTGTGAATACAATAAAATTACGGATACAGTCTTGCCGTCAGTTATAAAATTAAAGGGGGCCTACATTATTGTTCACTGACGGTCATTAGCACTCAGCAACTAAGAAGAATTCACATACAGAACTCCTTAAAACGTCAATATAAAACAAGTGCTTGAAAAGTGTTTTTTTTTTAATTTTCGTTTGTGGGGTTTGATGCACATTGAATTCGTTATGGGTAAATCTACTGTAGATAGTGTTGGAGAAAGTTAAGGTTAATTTGAAGATTTAAGGTCTTGTTTTTGTTTTTAAATTTTGTCACGTGTGTTTACGAACCCAGTAAATTTAGAGACCTATATAATTTGGGCAAACCGATAGGGTTTATGAATATAAACGCAATTAAATATTGTTCGTAAAGCATAGTCATTTTGAGTAGTTATTTTCAGTAACCAATAGGTGGCCGACGGTCTCATTGATTGTGTTATATGTTAGCTCGCTTAGCTCTGCGCGACATTTCAGTATTTTTTCTACTACTACACTTTAATTGCTACCTATATCTAGAATAAACGTTGTCGGTTGCGTTGGTTACCATTGGGTTACTCCAAGAATATGTTATTCTGCGAATAGGTGTAAGCGCAGTATAAGAAGAATTTGTTAACTTTTATTTTTATTTTTATTTTATTATTTATTTTATTAATAAGCACCGTTACAGAATGTACTCAGTTCTAATACCCACTTTAATAGACTGCATAATAATTGATTAAGAGGCGAACGCAAAAAAAACAGAAAAATGAATGTTTGTAGACAGGTTACACCCATCACCTCATAAAATCTGAGTAGATCTGTCATATCCACGAAAGAAATGAAAAACGTTCAGCTTCAGCCAATGACTTTTTTTTTAATCTATATGGCGCCTTTACTACTAATGTTTTTTTTCTCGTTGGCAAGCTACTGGCACCACACTCGCGATAATGTAAGTAGACAAATTACTGCAATAAAAACCGATTTTATTGTTTCTATATTTTGTTTGCTCACGCTCCGTGTTATCTAAAATAGACTGTGTAGTTAAAATTACCACAAAAAATAACAGACGCCGCTTAATTATTTTTAAAAGTTAATTAACCCATTTCAAAAACAACCTACAAAAGTGAAATTCCCTGGAATACAGACAACGCGTGTTGATCTTTGTAGAACAAGTGCTTGATCAGGCAAATGCCACAGGAAAACACTGGGCGCGTGAACGAATTATTAAGATTATCCGAATTATTTTCCAGTGTTGCTGAAAGAAACCCATTTAATTTTCACCGCTTCGCTTCTATTCATTAATTTACGTATTAAATCACAACAATGCAATTGAAATGAGATTTTTTTACGGTCAGAATAATCGGAGCAACGAAAACGAAAATAAACAGTGGAAATATAATGAATTTTTTACTTTGGAAAAGTTCTATTTTCAACAAATAAACGTGAATCGATAATTTTAATTTCAATATTTATGTTCGCGAAGAAGATTCAAAAGATGCCCGAATTTATTTACTTTCACAATGTGTAAACATTACCCACATTATTAAAATCCAGAAACATCTGCTTTAATTTGTAGATGGATGCTTTTATTTTTGGTGCTCAGGTGGATTTCCGGCGAGTTCATTTTCTTCTCAGCGTTTGAGCATTTTTACACAAATCGTCGGTATTGATCACGCTAAGTGTAAATTTTAATCATTTTGTGAAATACCCACAGGAGTGAAGCGTACAACAAATTAATAAAAATTAACGAAAGAACGATGTGAAAGATAAGAGTTGATGACGTAGATGGATTGGAAATGGAGGATAACGAATACGTTCCCGTTCATTGCAGGAAGGTAGATTCCTGAAATATATAGCTATATCAATAATCGAAATAGGCAGAAGATTAGAAGGGAGATAGGTTGACTTTCATCGAGAAAGAGTATACTAAACTAATATAAAAAGGTCGCCCGGACCAGGAGGAGTAAATTGCAAATCTCAACCGAGTTGAAGTGTCCCAGTTTTTGCATCAATGTGGTATCGCTTAGTAGGGACATGAATATTAAAGTTTAAACGTAGAGGTTTAAATGTATAGACGGAAACACTCATTTGGCCGCAAAATGCGGTCCGCACTTTAATTACGTTCCAGAGAGCGCCTATCTACGTTCCGGTTGATTTTCTTGTAATTTCGGAAATTCTGCTCAGTAAACGACGACAAATATTACACACAACATTCATGTAATAAATCATCGACCTACCGAATACAATTGTGCCTTCTGTGGCAGTTCATCCTGCGTTTACTTTCGCATAGTTTATAGCGATCCCCAGTAGTACAGCAACAAACTTCCTTGCGGGAAGATCCGGCAAATTTAAACTGAAACAAAAAAGAATATGTTACACGACAGAAAAACAAAAACTACTTCAGAAAATGTCAATAGAATTAGGGGTATAAAATTTTCCCTTACGGTCATAGATTACCATTTTCCGGAAAGGATAGCAGTTTTAAAAGCTTTTGTCCCTTTAAAATGTATCGTGATTCAAACTTGAAAATCTCCATTCAAATATTTACTTTGACCTCAAACATCATTCACCCTTGTATCCAAACCTTTAAAATTCTACACTTGCTTTTCACTATGAGGGGCCACCTCAAAGGACTTGTCGGGATTTTTCATTCCTATAGTAACCTAATAATGAAAGGTAGTGTTTAAATATGTATGCAGGTCGTGCGACTCGATCATAGAAAAATGCCGAGTGATTTAAGGCAGATGTTCAGAAGTGAGGAAGCATTTTATTTTTGACTTTGTTGACCGTTAATCTGAACATTCTTCGTCGAAGCGTCTTCATGTAGCGACATGTTAAACACCCTTTCTGTAGTCCTGTCAATTTATATCAATTTTTATGAATAGAAAACTGATCCAGACAAATGATGATAGCCTGGTTGGGAAACCTCAATCTGGAAGTAAAGTTTTATTTGTTGTGGTTTTCCATAGTTTTTGTGGAAATTTTTTTTGTTTAGTTTGGCTGCCCGTTTAGGAATAAACTAAAATCAAAGGTGAGAAGCAAGCAGGTTGAGAGCACTTCCAAATTATTCTAGAAAAATGAGTAGAAGTTTGTCAAGAATTGCACCTGGATCGTAAAAAAATCCCATACAACTGAATACCTAACGATCCTTGGGATCTTCACGCATTCATCATTTTTACAGTAACTGTTTGGCCCGATTGTCTACGTAGCGCTGCATGTGTGCCAATTTTCAAAACTATCGCACGTTTATAAACAAATTGTTTGGTTATTGACCTTTACGTCTAAAAAGCACGACAACAATCAAATGGTACTTAAGATTTAGGCATTTACTCATATTATTATCATTTTCATTAGGATAGTGTTCAAGTAGGAGAGGTATCTGGAGTGAGGGGGACCTGTCATAATCCTTCCAAAGGAGTTGCCATTTATGTCACCAGTCGCAATGGAGCGGTGGCCGGTTGAAGACCGGATGTTTACTTTGTAACGAAGCACCCATTTACCCCCCTGAAGTTTCATGACCACACCGTATATTTGTGAAGTCGACCAGCTTTGCTGAACACCCGGTATCTAGAAGCTTGGCGCTTCGTTACTAAGGAGTTTTCAAATTTACTTATTTGCTCTAGGAGACGAGACGAGTTTTCCGTGTTTTCATTTTTGTTTCATTGTTTTTCACCGATAACGCACGTAAGCTAAGTAATGAATTTCTCAGTTTTGCGATCGTTCCTGTGGGAGTATCTCAGTTGTTTTTGTAGCTGCCGAAAAATTAATATTTTTGAATTTGAGACAATGATAAACCATTATTAGCAGGTTTTGTTTTCCATGGTAAATTTAAAGGGAGCATTGGAACGGTAAGGTAGTGAAAGTTTCTGTAAATTCTAAGAGACAATGGGTTCAATTAGAACTCCGTTTTCCGAAACTTCCGTCCGGAAAGGCAAGTGAGTATAAGTAGCAACATTTAATTTTAATGAGCTACAGAAAACCCGTCCATTTGAGCGGGACGTTATCTAAAAAAAAGCGCGCTTTAAAAACCTGAAGTCTGATATCAATCCCATATTTTTCAGAAATCGGGAAAAGGAGTAATGAATTAAAAACAGTTTAGTTTGGTTTAACTTATCGAAGATACGCGTACGAAATGGGAATCCCAGTTCACCGTACTCGAAATGGACGTTTCACCTTATTCAACAATACATAGACTGCAACGGGAGCTTTACATTTTGTTTGTAGAAATAGGTAAAGTTGCAATCGAAAAGTAAAAAAAGTTCGAATGGTACCGAAGGAAAAAATGACCGAAGAAGGCTTCAAGAAATTGGAAGGAAGAAGCGGTCTCTTAGTGCATTTACAACAAGAAGGTGAGATCGAATTGTGTGTTTATTTGTATCTTAACGCTTAAATCTACCTAAATAATATTAGCAATTCGTGCCAGCTTATTGGCTTTTCTTCGTTCGCAACGCAGATAGTGCCGTCACTTTCCGACTGACAAATCTGATTAGTGACCTAAGAATCAAAACTGCTATCAGTAGTGTAACCGAGGCGATGAACAGCAAAGTCCCGATAACGTCCAGGAGCAGATACTGATACCATGGTATGTCCAGTAGTGGACTTCTCAGATGTTTCGCTCCTTTATGACGAATCACGTACTCAGTCCACCAGACTGCCTTTTCAAGTCCGCTCATTGGTTGATCTCTCGCCAGTTCAGCTAACTTGGCAAGAGTATTTCGGTACCTAGTACGCAAATGTTAGTGGCAAAACGCCGTTACCGAGTTCCCTTACTGTGGATTGTTGATGACCTCCAAAATAGCCTGCTTGAAACGATCTCCTTTTATCTCAGCGGGGTCTATTGCCAATCCAAAGCCCATACTTTCCATCTTTTTCACGTTGTACGGTTGATCGCCAATGAATGGGATGCCGACCATTGGTACGTGAGAGTGTATCGCTTCGTCCATGGATTGTAGGCCTCCTTGTGTTATGAACAGTTTAATGTTGGGGTGCCCTAAGAACGCAATTAAACGAAATGGTAACAAAGTCGATTTCGCCTACTTAGCACATCTTCCTGTGGAAGCCACTTTGAGATCACCACGTTTATGGGCTTGTCTGGGATTTCTTCTCCATATTTCCACAGTACAGTATACGGCAGCTCAGCAAAAACGTCCAGAATGGTTTGTATGGTCTTGTTAGGAAGGTATTCACTTTGAACGTTTGATCCCAAACTAAAGTAAATAAACCCGTTCGTGGCGCTGTCTAATAACAGTTGAAGATCCTGCAATTGGAGCATGTATGGAAACGACCTTGTGACAACCTTGACTTACCTTGGGAAGAGGTTTGGGTGGACTTCTATGGGAACCTCCGCCGATTTGTACTACAGCCGGAACCAGAGGCCTATTGTGGTGGAAAATGGGGTCCGCATTGACGAATAGCATGCTGATATTTTGGGCCATCTCCTGAATTGGTGGGTAGTCGCTTCCAAAGTGCTTCTCTATTACTTTCTGCCACATTTTTTCCACTACGTGTTCATTGTAGAGAGTAAAACCAATATCGGTAACGAAACTGGTAACGCGTTCAAACAGTGATAACTTGTTTCCATACGGCAAAAACGTGTCCGGGTATAAGCTGGAGTGCACGGGATTGCCGACGTATCTAAGCATACCGCTCGGAGCATCGACGGAGAGCATCCCAATGTAAGGACAATTGAATCTCACTGCAAAAGCCAGTACGCTATCCCACAGGTGCTCCATGATGACCAGATCGAACTTGGCATTTTTGTCGTTCAGCAGCTCGCGAACCGCCGGATGTTCCAATTGCTTGTCCACCATGTCGACGATGATCGGGAACATGCGTCGCGTCTTTTGAAAAAAATTCATTCCGCTATCCTCCATCATCTGCTTGATCCCTTTACTTGAAGATTTAGTAAATACGCTCAAATCGATCTCCGTCAAGTTGGTTAACCTCGGATCCTTGAGAGGATGGGATGTAATCGTCGTCACCTGGTGACCGCGCAGTGAAAGTTCTCTCCATAGCGGTTTATAAACCACCTGGTGGCTGTAGGCGGGAGTGAGAACGACTCCCAAAATTCTCGCGGCACTCGCACTGCCGACCAGGAGGCACAGTTTGAAGAGCACCCACATCTTGCAGTTGAAGAAGCGCGGTTGAATGTAAATGGGTGTGGATTACCGCACGTATTTAAAGTTCGTGATAACTACTGAGTGCAACGATAACGCAACAGAAACTACTATCGGAACCACTTAACTGGATGACGGTGCTATTATTTTCAATTTGGATTGGACTAATTGAATGTGATTGGCATGACAAGAAATTTGCGCGTATAGCAATAAACGAGGAAGAGAAACAAGAGCTTTTCGAAGGACTCATGTAGATTTTTTGGAAATGAACTTTGTCCTTACAGTTCATTTCAAGAAAGCATTCTTTTTGTATGATGCCGGGGCGACACTATATCGAGAATTTAGCTCATATGCAGTCGTTTTAATTATGGGTATTTCGTTACAAGTGCGAAGTCAGCATGAAATCACACTTATATCGTAACAAGCCAAGTCAGCTGAATTTCAGTGGGAAAGAACAACCTGTTTCTTCTGTGCTTACGTGAATATAACGATTCCAATTGACGCAATTGAAAAACATTGCGGGACTTAGTTATTACACTTCATATTAAAAAAAGGCAGTACTACAAAATAATCAATTACCTGGCAGGGATTAACCAAATTGTACAACACAGTAGAGAATGCTGATTGGTCACCAATCATCGATAGCAACAAAACAGCTAACGAAAAATTTATCTCATTTATGGAATTTATTACTACTGAATGTGATTCTTCTTTTGTTTGTAAATCCAAGCTGGAAGCTAGTAATCGTACAAATGCTCGCAAAATACATTGGTTTAACCAACATATAAGGAGAAGCAGAGATCTTCTACAAGGATTGTAGGATTGTTAGTCGCACTACACTCAAGGCATTCAGGAAGCAATATAGAGCTGAAATTAACATCTTCAAAAAGAGGGCAAACGATGTTTACATTAGTGGGGCATCCAACATACAAAAGGCCGCTTGGGATGTTATAAAAAGTAGTAAACCTGTGAAACAGGAAGACCCTTCATCCAGCTTGTCAGCGGACGCACTGAATACATTTTTCAGTGAGGTGGGAACTTCTATAACCTACCCAAATCTGACACAAATCCATTACTGCAATAAGCTAAATATACCCAGTCACTTACAATTTACCTTCAAGCAGTTAAGTTACATTGAACTAAGCGACATTATATCGAAACTTAAAAACACACCCAGTAAGGATCCATTTAATCTAACTGTGAAAATTATAAAATCATTGAAAAATGTGATAGTGTATCCCCTGTGTAAACTTATCAACCAGTGCATTATTGATGGAATTTTTCCCGATTGCTTAAAATGTGTAAGAGTCGTCCCAATTTACAAAAAGGGCTCTCCCCAGGAAGCATCAAACTACAGGCCAATCTCAATCATTCCAATTATTGGAAAGATATTCGAAACAGCAATACAAAGACAGATGCAAAATTATTTTGAAACCAACAACTTATTCAATGTTTATCAATTTGAATTCAGAGATCGGAAATCTACAACTGCAGCTATAAATCACCTCTTAAGCTTTGTGCAGCAAGGTTTTGAATCAAAGCAACCATCTCAAGTATCACTCCTTGATCTTACCAAAGCTTTTAACTGTGTCAGTCATGGCTTGCTACTAGAAAAACTTGCAAAATATAAATTTGACAAAAACCGCATATCTTTATTACAATCTTACCTCACAGGACGCACACAGTATGTCAGTATAGGAGGCTATAAATCTAAACAAGCAACCAACAGAACGGGTGTTCCTCAAGGGTCAGTAATGGGCCCAACACTATTTCTAATCTTCATTAATGACTAGTCTACGACATAAACAACTTCACGCCAACACATGACTCTCTTCGCACACGATACAACAGTCATCACACCTGCGGATAACAGAGAAATGTTAGAACAGGAAACCATACGATTACTTTCAAAGATATCACAGTGGTTTCTCAGTAATCGCCTTATGGTAAACGACCAGAAGATCCAATCTTTAACCCTTAGTCTTGGTAAAATTGAGAAAGGCTGTCCTGTCAAGCTGCTGGGTGTCTACGTAGACAACAAACTCACATTGGCGGAACATGCTACACAGCTGTGTAGAAAGTTGTCTAAATAAATGTTTGTGCTGAGAAATCTTAAGGCTCCTCTGTAGTCAATCCGCCATATTGGAAAAATAGCTAAACTTTCTTATGAAATGCTGCTTTTGTAGTTGCAGTCTAACAAATTCTCGATAGTGGATATTCTTTGCAATGATGAAAAGAACGGCGGTACTTAAAAAAAGTTGAAATATATGTCTTAGTTTTTTAGGAAGATCGATGAATAGAAAAATCGTTTTTCGTATATAACAGCCGTTGTAATAGGAGTAGAAAAACCTACAGCACCAATTTGGAAATCCGACAGTATTTCCTACGGCGGTACTTAAAGATATTATTTCCACCTATTATGATAATGCATTTATTTTAAAAAATATGTATCGCGATCTTTAGAAAAAAATCAAAACGCTAACGTAAGGATAGGCAACTCATATTGCACTATAACTCCTGAGGCGACAACTCATTACTTGAAAGGGAAAACAAAAGAAACTACCTGGCATTATCCTGCACATTGTTACGCCGTTCCTAATGATATGGATTAGATAAATTACTATATAATTAGCTAATGTGCATGGATGCTGTTGATTTGTGAATCATAATGTCACATATTCCCAAGACGAAAAGTGTACTAAATGCATATTTATTGTAGGTACATTGGAAATAATTTTTGATTTCTAAAACCTTTTTCATTCTATCAGGATGCTTCAAGAAATTTGTTTAGGAAGGTATCAAATAGTAGCCCAATTTTTAGCTAAACCCCTAGCCCTAGGCCGGAATACGACTGTACCAGTAATTAGAAGCATTTTTGCCGCAAATTTGTTCTTGTGTAGAAATGTGGCACCGTTTTGATTTTTTGGACTAACGCATGACCACCACACAAGCGGGTAGCACAGTATCACAATTCACAAATTCTGAGTCAAGACAGAGAGGGAAGTGCTACTTATTTTTTCAATATGATCAGATATCAGGAATATCCGCTTATCAAAAAAATAAAGGAACGACAAATTTCGATTTTTACAAATAAATTGGCCAGAAATTTGCGCCCAATAGTTTTCACATTCTGAGCCTACCATTTCAAAGAAACTCGATTGCACTTGTTCATTTTAACTGTTACAAAAAATGTTCCAATTCCCCTTTTTAGCTAAATTTCTAAGCGGGATACGATAACTAAAGGCGACACTGACAAATTTATTTAAAAAAAGTGTCATTGTTTTGCTCATGTCAAGTCAAGGTAGTGAGACATCACGAAAATGAGTATTTGTATCAAAACATGGGTGAAATTTTGGGTTTTCCCGGTGATTAGTGGTGGGTAAAAAAATTCTCCCACTTTTAAAAAATTTCAACTATTTATTTTTTCCGTTTGAGAATATGATGGAATCCCGCAAACTTCACATCAACTTAGCGAATATGAACTGATTCATCTCGGATCTTGCCTCTCAGAAAATAGAGGATCAACCGCGGAATCAACAAATTTTACAACTGAATTCTCAATTTAGGACAAAAAAGCGAAGTCATCTTGCTGCACAGAAACAGAAGATGTTCGGAAAAATTCTACATGGGTTGTGCATGAATATAAATAAGTATAACCATTGAATAAGCACCTTTCAATGGTATAACGGTAAATGTACAATTATTATTTTTTAAAAAGATAAGAATTTATTTAAAAATCGGTATATGTTATACTTTTATTCATTGTAACAGAATTTGAAATGTTAACTACCATTTTTATTAAAAAAAATACATTTTTTGTTGTTCACCATTATTGTATAAGAAAATAAAGAGATTTATTTTAGGTGTTCGAAATGCCGGTTTATTAGGTTCTACCATACCTAAGTCCTAAGTGAATTCATTCATGCACATTGTCTATCTAATAACTATAAAAATCTATAAATCAGTAAAATTGATTAGAAAAACTCACAGGAAATAAAGGGGTAATTAAAAATGTTAACAAAGAATGCTAATCTAGTCCACTAATGACCTAAGAACCAGGTAATTTACAGAAGGTGTCATTATAGAAAAATGCAGTAAATGCATTGAATAAGTAATTTACTCAATAGTAAAAGAAATCTCCATTAAAATATTGTACAGCTTTTCGCCTAAACTTGTTTACATAATATTAGTCCTTGACCATTATACATGGTCTATTGTGTTTAACAATAAATGAAGAGAATATGCAAAACTGGAAAGGATAGAGATACATCGTTGGTCTCAATCAAGGAGTATAGTGTATTCAGAAAATAATGTTACTTTTCTCATTAACGCTGGGGGTGTTCCCAATAGTATTGCGATAAATGGTATTATTGGATTTGCATCTTAAATGTATCGGAAAAACCGGATTTTTAAGGGCGAAATTCGTTCAAAACCATCCTTACGGTTTGTTTAAATGAATAGAACAATAAGCACCAATCACCTAGCAGTCAGCAGTTCTCAACAAATTATAAATATTACACCAATTTCGATACGAAGGTATAACGCTTGTCTTTAAATGGTAAAATAACGGCAATTTTACGTTCGTAAAATGCGCTAAAAACTTATATGATATTCAATTGATACGTAATACGTACCTATATAATGTAATGATATGCAAATATGCACATAATGTGCTAGGGGTATTATCGTTATCACTTTCACTACAATAAACGCTTGTTTACCTCAGAAGTTAATTATATTTAGATTTGTACTTGTACCATAATGATTTCCTAATTATTGTAATCAATATTAATGTTTTATAAGTAAAAGAAGATAAGAAAATATTTGTTAATGCCTTTAGGAAGGGGTTCTATATATATTGCAACTGAATTGTACTTACTTAGTTTCCTGTACAACCTGGTCAAAATGGACGCCACTGAGGCCAAACGTAAAATTTTGTTGAACGTGTATGATTATTTTGTAAAAGAAAAAAATCATGGTGGAGTACTTACTTCAGTAATGGCAGTTCAACAAAGAACAGCGGATGCGGTACAAGTATCGAAACAAACAGTTGTGAGGACATGTGCTATGCGAG